CTGCTGAAGTGAGAAAACTCACAAAACAGGCAGTGAATGTTTGTTTTTGTTTTGTTTTGTTTTTTAAGTGGAAAATGGAAGGTCCTTATCCTAGAATGGAAACCTGTAACACTGTTTTCAGCAAGGCTGTGTGGAGCCTGACCTGTGTTCCCTTCTTGGACTGGATCCAGAGGTCTGATAAAATCCCCTTTATGCCACCTCTGATTTTAGAGTGTATTTGAAGACTGTCTACATAGATGGTGTTTTAAGGCTGGGATTTTTTTTTTCTTTTGATGCCAGCTTTGAAAATGCTCTGTGGCTAGTAAGCGTAACTGCCAGCAGGCTCAACCTGGGCTCTCCCAAGGCTGGTAACCCATTCCTATTTTTAGAGCCATTGGTGGGTCTGAAGGACCTCTTTCTCAGCAACTAACACCTTCTCCTGCCCAATAGAGGCTGTTGTGAGTGGGCAAGTGGGAGCAGAAGGGATAAAAGGTAAATGTTGTCTTCTGTTCTTGCATCCGTTCTGTTTTGCTTCGCAAGGTGAACCAATATAAGCCCTTTCTCTGAAAGACAGAAACATCACTGCCTTTTAGTTTAGTATTAATAGTGACTTCCAGCCCAAATCTTCAAAGATGGATGTGTGACCCACTAGCCTTCTCCTGTGGATCCTTCATTTTTACATATAGTTCTTACCATTTCGTAGGTAGAAGAGCACCCTGAGTTCATCTCAGACTTCAATTTTCTTCCTTCCTGTGTTCAGTGTTTCTCATTTGCTGTTCTATTTGCTTTTCTGCCTGCCTCTCTCCTAGTGCAGTTCTTCTCTTCCCTGCCCCCCCCCCCCTTCCAGTTTTTAGCTTCCTTTTTACCATTTTGACTTCCCCTCCTTCTCTCTCTGTCCTGTAATTTCCTTACATGCAGCCTGGAGCATGGTGCTGCTGCTCTCTCCTTTTGCTGGCAAGGTGAAGAGGAGGGATTGCTTTCCTAGAGGGAAAGTAGGTAGCAAAGTGAATCCAGACCTTTCCCTTCCTTTTCTTGAGGTTTTTAAAACTTATCTCTGTGCACGAAATGAGGCATTTATGTGATTGCAGGGTTAAAGACCTTCCAAGTATAAGCTGAAAGTCAGCTTTTCATCATTGGCTTTAGTAGTTGCATTGTGAAAGAAAGCTCGTTCCCCCATTCATCTCCCTGTTATCAGCTGCAGGTTTCACCACTTCACTCCCATTCACTTGGCAGATCAGAAGCTCCGTGGATGGTGTGGTCTCCTCTGAAGAGTACCTAAAGCAGCACGGCTAATACTAGAAATAATAGTAGAGGATGAGGGGGAGTTGCACTGCGTGTCCATATTACTGACCCATACTGTGGAGTGACAATAGCTTGAAGGGAAAGTGTCTACTCTGCAAGCCAATTTAGGAGCCATTATCACTATTGTACAATAACTTTATATTGGCTACTATATAATTAGCACATTTCTTGTTGTCAGGTCTTTTGTGTGTGATTTTTAGG